CTAAAATAACTCCCTACTGTTTACTGTTTACTGGGTAGATACGTTTCAAGAAATTGTTTTGGAGTAGGTGTTTACTACAATCCGACTAAACAAACAACCAAACAATCGACCGACTAACAAACCAACCAACCAACCAACCAACTAACAAACCAACCAACCAACCAACTAACCAACCAACTAACAAACCAACCAACCAACCAACCAACTAACAAACCAACCATCCAACAAACCAACCAACTAAGCAAAAAACCAACCAACTAACCAACCAACCTTCCATAAAAAGCACTAAATCCTACAATTTGTATATTTAAGTAACCAAACAAATAAAACCCGCAGTTATATTTGAAAACCAGAGTTTAAAAATCTGTGGTTTGCAAAAACTCTGTTTTGGTTCGTTAAATCCAATTAGATCCATATTTACGTTTTAAACTTGACCTCCTCATGTCAAACATGTTTAATAAGAACAATATAAATTATGATAATTATAAATCTAAACCGCGTTATTATTATTTATTGGTCAATTATTATTAGTAGCCTTGTACTAAAAGTACGAGTCAACCATCAAACAATCAACAAAACAACGATTAATAATAATAATATATAATAAATTGATCAATCTAACAATCTCTGGTACTTCATTCCATATTTTTTTTCGATTCGAGTTACACATTTCATATATATAAATATCCTACATTACACATTAAATATGCTACATTACACATTAAATATGCTACAATACACATTACATATGCTACATTACACATTAAATGTGCTACATTACACATTAAATATCCTACATTACAGATTAAATATGCTACATTACACATTAGATATGCTACATTACACATCAAATATGCTACATTACACATTAAATATGCTACATTACACATTAAATATCCTACATTACACATTGAATATGCTACATTACACATTAAATATGCTACATTACACATTAGATATGCTACATTACAAATTAAATATTCTACATTACATATTAAATATGCTACATTACACATTAAATATGCTACATTACACATTAAATATGCTACATTAAACATTATTTATGCTACATTACACATTACATATGCTACATTACACATTACATATGCTACATTACACAGTACATATGCTACATTACACATTACATATGCTACATTACACATTAAATATGCCACATTACACATTACATATGCTACAATACACATTACATATGCTAAAATACACATTAAATATGCTACATTATTTATGCTATTTTACACATATGTAATGTATGCATTACATATGGTCTGTTTAATGATGAATAAATAAAAAAATGTTTCAGGGTTAACGATAAATCATTTTTATTTTTACAGTTTACAAAACAATACTGGAGCTTCATTATCACTGCGGTTTTAATTTCAAGTAATCAATCCCCCCTTCTCCCCTCCTCTACCTCACCAATCCCACTCCCTGCCCCCCCTCCCCTCCAGGCCTCAATTTTGTGAAATATGAACTTGTAGTAATGTTAAATAATGACCATTATTATAATTTATAGAATTAAATTTTCCTTTTATATTTGATCAAGAACTTTGTATTTTTATAAACAGATGTTGTAACGTAACCTCCGTAAACAAGACGATTCACAACAGTACTCTCTACATTATGTTTGTTGTGTATCCCAAATCCCAATTGTGAAATGTAAATTTTACTGCGCTGTTGCCTTATGTTCCGTTGGAATCACTAAAACAAGTTTTTAAAATTCTCGAGTATTTTGGAAATACAGGGTTACCCACAAAGGATGAGATTGTAAAGACGACCCAAAAATCTAAAAATATTACGAATTGAAGCTTGATTTTTGTTTTTTGCATTCAATTGAGTATTTTGATGGTTTACTAAATGATTAAGCACAAAAATAAGCTAGTTTTGACCTGCAAGGAACCCTAAATGAATTAAAACGGACACTCATTCTATGTGAGTAACCCTGTACATTAACATTGAAATTCCGCACAAAATGTTAGAGATATAGAAATGTGTGATATAACCTAAGCATAATTCCGAAAGAAAAATATTTGCAATTTTAGAATTCTTTGGATATCGTTCGATTTTACTACCAAACTGTTAGATTTATAATTCTAGCATTGTGTATTTTTCAAATCCTAAGAAAACTACTTTAAAATGTTTTTATTTTCTTGTTGATTTGTGAATAGAGTTCACGGGTTGATTATACATTCAATCAATCAATTCACATTTGATTGATAGTTTAGAAATTCGTTCAAGATTGACATTTCGTTTATAGACAAATGTATTATATATACAAAACAGACAGACATTTCCAGACACACATACAGATAACCAGACAACAGATACATATCCAGACAAACAGACACATAAACAAACATACAGACAGATAACCAGACAACAGATACATAATCAAACAACAGACACATAAACAAACACACAGACAGATAACCAGACAACAGATACATAAACAGACAACTGCAGACACATAATTACAGACAACAGACACATTACCAGACAACAGATACATAACCAGACAACAGACACATAAACAGACAACAAACACATAACCAGACAAACAGACCCATAACCAGACAATAAATTCAGACACATAACCATAAAATAGATACATAACCGGATATTAGAAACATAACCAGACAACAGATACGTAACAAGACAACAGACACATAGCCAGACAACATATTCATAATCAGACAATAGATACATAACCAGACAAAAGATACATAATTAGTAGAAAGACACATAACCAGACAACATATCCATAATCAGACAACAGATAATAACCAGACAACAGATACATAACCAGACAACAGATACATAACTAGACAACAAATACATAACCAGACAAAAGATACATAACTAGACAAAAGACACATAACCAGACAACATATTCATAATCAGACAATAGATACATAACCAGACAAAAAATGCATAACTAGACAATACACATAACAAGACAACAGACACTTAACGGGACAACAGATACATAACCAGACAACATATTCATAACCAGACAACAGACAACCAACCAGACAACAGACACATAACCACATAACGGATACATAACCAGTCAAAAGATACATAACTAAACAACAGACACACAACCAGACAACAGACACACAACCAGACAACAGACACATGACCAGACAACAGATACATAACCAGACAACAGATACACAACCAGACAACGGACACATAACCACATAACAGATACATAACCGGACAAAAGATGCATAACTAGACAACAGACACATAACCAGACAACAGATACATAACCAGACAACAGATACATAACTAGACAACACATACATAACCAGACAACAAATACATAAAAAGAGAACAGATACATAACCAGACAACAGATACATAACCAGACAACATATTCATAACCAGACAACAGACACACAACCAGACAACAGACACATAAACACATAACAGATACATAACCAGACTAAACAACAGACACACACCCAGACAACAGACACATGACCAGACAACAGATACATAACCAGACAACAGATTCACAACCAGACAACGGACACATAACCACATAACTGATACATAACCAGACAAAAGATACATAACTAGACAACAGACACATAACCAGACAACAGATACACAACCAGACAACAGACACATAACCAGACAACAGGCATATAACAAAATAACACAAAGAAAAACGATAAATATTATTGGTAATTTTATTTCATATCATTAATTGCATAATATGGCACATTTTTACAAAATAAAACATGACAAAAGTCGAACTGTAAAAACAACAAAAACTAAAAATGTAAAAAAGCTCTTTTATGAGATAGAATTATTTTGATATTCATCATGTACATTATTAGATAAGATTAGTAATACTTTATAATTGTACAGCAATGTACTGCAACATCGTACGGTACTGTACTGAAAAATACATAATTAAAACATTTTCAGTATTTTAATAAACACCTAAATAAATAAATAAATAAATAAATAAAAGAGGACAAGAAGTTATTAATAGGAGAATGATCATAAATTAGAAAAAAAACCTGTTATAAACTCAACAACAACAATATAAATTATAATATGCCCTTAACACTTCTCAGTTGATTTGTTTTAAATCTTGTTTTCAATGAATTAATCTCAAAATAAATAGCTTTTATCTCAATATAAATAATTTTTAGCTTAGGATAAATAACTTTTATCTCAAGATAAATAGCTTTTATCTCAAGATAAATAACTTTTATCTCAAGATAAATAACTTTTATCTCAAGATAAATAACTTTTAACTCAAGATAAATAACTTTTATCTTAAGATAAATAACTTTAACTCAAGACAAATAACTTTTATCTCAAGATAAATAACTTTTAGCTCAAGATAAATAACTTTTAGCTCAAGATAAATAACTTTTATCTCAAGATAAATAATTTTTATCTCTAGATAAATAACTTTTATCTCTAGATAAATAACTTTTATCTCTAGATAAATAACTTTTATCTCAAGATAAATAACTTTTATCTCAAGATAAATAATTTTTATCTCAAGATAAATAATTTTTATCTTGTGAAAAATAAATATTATCTTAAAATAATAACTTTTATCTTAAGATAAATAACTTTTATCTCAAGATAAATAATTATTATCTTGTGAAAAATAAATATTATCTTAAAATAATAACTTTTATCTTAAGATAAATAACTTTTATCTCAAGATAAATAATTATTATCTTGTGAAAAATAAATATTATCTTAAAATAATAACTTTTATCTGTCGATAAAATGGTAATTTTCTCGACATAACATTGGAATAAAGATCTTAGGCGAAATAAATGATAAAACACTATTCCACAAATTCCATTTCTCTCAAACTATCCTTTACACATGAATCACATGAATCACATGAATCACATGAAATCCATGTTTTAATAATAATCTGTGCTTGGACCACTGCACACTGGGTACACTAGACCGGCTAGTACCAGAAAATGCTTGTACCGGTTCGAATCATGCACAAATTGGACCAATATTAAACCATAACAGCCCTGTCATCCTGTCCTAGGGTGGTCTGGTGGGCGGGCTGGGATCTAAACCCTCCCTCCCCCTCCCCTGCCACGCCCCTTCGTTCTAGGCTCTTCCCCCGGTCACGCCTCTTTACACTGCGGACCGTGACCGGCCTGGGTTGCGGGGTGCGGGCGGCATAGGGAACTAGATAGTATGCGGGCAACTGAGACTCAGGACCGGTTTCAGAACTCGCTTTGCTCGTCATACTCTCAGAGCTGGTGTCACAATCAGAAACTTCTTTATTGTTAGACTTCGTCTCCCGCCATCTTCTAAAAATACAAAGTTTGTTATTCAGTGGTGTACAGTACAGTACAGTACAGTACAGTACAGTACAGTACAGTACAGGACAGTACAGGACAGTACAGGACAGTACAGGACAGTACAGGACAGTACAGTAGAGTACAGTAGAGTACAGTACAGTACAGTACAGTCCAGGATATTACAGTACGTACAGGAAAGTACAGTACAGGACAGTACAGTACAGTACAGGATAGTACAGTAAAGTACAGTACAGTACAGGACAGTACAGTACAGTACAGGATAGTACAGTACAGTACAGTACAGTACAGTACAGTACAGTACAGTACAGTACAGTACAGTACAGTATACAGTACAGTACAGTACAGTACAGTACAGTACAGTACAGGATAATACAGTACAGTACAGGACAGTACAGTACAGTACAGTACAGGACAGTACAGGACAGTACAGTAGAGTACACCAATTAAATAATTTTTTTCTTTTGAACAGTTCTCATGTAGCCGGTGAAAAATTAAAAGAATTGTATTTACAAATGTGAATTATTTAGATCAGATTAATAGAGTTGAGAAGTTTTCACTGAAATCTACCCAACCATGAAGCCATATCAATCCAAATGTCAAGATTAACAAGGAGGAAAAAATTAGATTTTTAATAAATTCGCGAATTTTTCTGCTGATTTTGGTGGGAAAAACCTCAATAGTTTGACACTAAACAGAATTACAGACCGTAAAAATTGACGGGAAAAGTAAGAGCTACACGTCTTGTTCAGGGGGCGGGGGGTGATTTGGTGGTGTTAGAGGTTTCTGCTTAATGTTTTTATCTTTTACCACTGTGGAACAATGACTTGATGTAATGAAGTATTAAGTAATCCATTTAAATAATTAATAATTATACATTCCATTAAAAAAACTTCATACAATTTCATTTTATAGAATTCATGAATTGGTTTCTTTCTCTATAATCCTCAACTCATCAAGCTTAGTATGGCCTTTAAGAGATCTTAAATACTTTCTAGTGTCGTAATGGCAATCTGTTATTTTAATTAATCTATGGTTATTATATATTCTTACTTGTAGCAGGCCACTAGCACTATAGCAGCTGATAGAAGGCAGAAGGTTAGAGCTGTCGCCAGGGTTAATATCAGATAAAGACGACATTCAACAACAGGGTTCGAGTCATCCTTCGATACGGAGTCAGGCAGAGTCACCTGATCATTATCATTATTATTATTATTATTATTATTATTATTATTATTATTATTATTATTATTATTATTATTATTATTATTATTAAAATTGTTACCTTAATCTCCAGGTTTTCCTCCCATCCTTCTGTTTTACCGATTGTAGAACGCCGTGTTCTGCTCGACGCGCTATCCTCGCTCCGGCGCACTCTATCCCCGCAGAATACCTGGCAGTCAGCCTCCTCTACACACGCTACTACCTGCAGATACAGCGGTAAGCGATTATATTAATACAATGAATACGACTTTCAATTTAAATGTTGATTTAAATCAAGCTGTTCAACAGCATAGATTTGGATACACATAAACATAGAAGTCAAGAGAAGCTGTCAATAGAAAAAGCTTCTTTTTGATTACTTGTAAACTTGTAATTCGAAAAAAGCTTGTTAAGAATCAGACCTTAAATAAGAATCATTGTATTAATATAATCGCCTACCACTGTAGTTTAATATATATATATATATATATATATATAGTATAGACAGATCTAACAAACCTGAGCAGTGATCATAATCGCATCATCCTCTGCCATATCTTGAAACATGAAAACTCGAAAATCAAAATTATTGATTAGATGGTTGGATTCGTCCCTCCAGGGTGGGTAGGGGGCCAGCGCCTAAACATTAGCAAAATTATTGATTAGATGGTTGGATTCGTCCCTCCAGGGTGGATAGGGGGCCAGTGCCTAAACATTAGCAAAATTATATATATTCGATGACTAAAAATTTCTCAAAATCCAACCATCTATAAGCGTAATTTCAAGTTATCATCTATGTCAACGGTACCATTAAAAGCCTTAATCTCACGCACCTCTGCGCCTTTAGTAAAAGTAAATTGAACCTATATGAAGCATAAAGTCAGATCGGGTCAACCTTGTTTCACCAGCTAGTCCTGGCCATGTTAGTTCGAGTAAACCCATGAATTAGTAAGGACAGGTTGAGCAGAATTGCTCGTACACTTCGTGTACTTAAAGTTTATCCGGAGATAATACATAAATACTTTATCTGTGGCTAATATTGGTTATAAACAAAACCATTGATATCTAATTCATACATCAGAAAAAGCTCTCAAGGGTACCCTTGTAAATCAGGTATTGCCATCTTATCATAGAGCTGGTCTTTTGAAATTATGCGAACAGTCCCTTTAATGAAGTTGAGAACGCTAGGTCAGCTGTAATGTATGGCATAATTAGTTTCTAATTAACAAATACAAGAATAAGATTTGCTCAGCCTGAAAATTAATTCTTGAAAGTGTACAGGGTGTCACAAAGAAAATGAAAAAAATTTCGCTCAAAAAACTTGCTTTCCGTTCGTTTTTGATATATATCGGGAAACCCATAAAACTTTAAATCAACTTGAGACATTAAAAGTTTATTGATTTCACTTTTAAAAAAGGAAAATTATTTTAAAAAACTTTTTCTGGGTTTTCATTAAGAAGTAATCAGCAAAATTCTCATCGATTTTCGCGTAAGGGCGTGCAACATGTGGATCATCGTTACGGAGTTTGCAATATTTTTATCGTTAAAAACAATTTAGATACGATCCGATTACGATCGTCATAATAGCTTCGTTTTTAGGTTGTTTTTTGTTGTTAATAATTTCTGCCAATGTTTTTTGTTTGTACACCCTTTACACCCTGTACACAATTAGTAAAGCAGTGGCTGGCTAAATAGGAACCAACAGTGCAGAAATTATAATCCAGGTTTCTCATTTATAATAATACAGGGTGTCCCAAAAAACATGGGAATTCATTGACGAATTGGATATCGTCTTTGTATTGAATTAGCATTGTAATAGCGAATTTCAAAAGCCATAATATTATTATGTCTGCTAGAGTTTATTTTATGAAAAGGGTAAAAGACTGTAAAGATGTGTTTATAATGTCTCCGCAAGATGAACAGTGAAGACGGACAAGACTACTAGCTGTTTGTATACTGCAATTTTCTTGTTTTACTGAGTACAACTCGTAAAACCGTATGCAGTCAAAACATAAACAAACAAATTGTGAATTACATAGCAGACGTGTTGACCCAGTCTTTAAAATTGATGAAACTTTTTATTGCAGACTGTGGGGTGACATAAATTTTTTAAGTTTATGATTTTCATCAACGCAAAAGAAATGGTAAAAACCGTGCCGATAAACTTTATAAATTTCATTTGATGCAAATTTATCTCGGTTTGTAAAAGGTTAAGAAAAATAAAGTTGCAGATATTTAAATGCTAGAAACTTGATCACAAGAAACATAGTCATATAAAGTTAACCAAACCAACATATAAAGTCATATAAAGTTAACCAAACCAACATATAAAGTTAACCAAACCAACATATAAAGTTATATAAAGTTAACCAAACCAACATATAAAGTTATATAAAGTTAACCAAACCAACATATAAAATTAACCAAACCAACATATAAAGTTATATAAAGTTAACCAAACCAACATATAAAGTTAACCAAACCAACATAATTTCTCCGAACTTTTCACATTTGAAAGTGCTTTTTATGGCCATATTCTTGTTCTACTTTATTATTGCGTTTCAAGCAGTTGAATTTTTGGCAATTATATCTGCAGTATAAAGATAAAGCACCTTATAGTTAGGATCCCTACACCCATCTGAGTGAACCAATTTCACGCTGTTTCCTGGACCAGACAGTGTCTTCCCTCCCTGCACTCTGAACAAATTAAAGAGATCAAAACTTTTTATTTTTAATCTAATCATACACGTTAATTCAACCTAAAATCTGACCGCGTCAACCTTGTTGCACCGGCTAGTCATTTTGAGTGTCTGCTTTATTTACCCAATGTCCGGGCAATACAGTACAAACTGTACAAAATGTACAAAATGTACTACGGCTGCCAGTGCATAATGCGCTCAACCGGTTCTTTTTCCCGTTGCGGTTTAATTCAGGCTTTCGTCAGCTGTCGATACTGAGTTAAAGGTACTGTATTCGTATTTATGAATGACTCTCCAATTACAGAGTGGCCTACACGATTCACAACGGTACCATTTAAAGCTTTGATTGATCAAGAATAAAAGAGTTATTCACTTTTACCTCTTCGACAATTTATTATTTTTGACTGTGGTTTCTTTACAAAAGAGATTCTTCAGCAGGAGAAATGGAAGGAAATTATCATAATTAAACACTTTTCAATCTAGAAAAGTAACGATGTTTTCTACATTCAAATTAAGGTTTATAGGGTATCGTTGTAAATTGAACATGCCCAATTGCCCATAGCTCTTTAATTGGAGGGTAGATAGCAGCAGCAGCATATTATAGATGTTTTATATGTATCGTTTAACTCTTGAGATTCTCAGGTTTCAGCCTATACCCCCTTTTCATTTTTCCTGTACAGTCCCTTTAATCATTGTGAATACAGTTTAAGTTAAAGCATGATATATGCGCTATTCAAATTAAAAGTTCTAGTCTCAAGGTTTGCACACCAGATTAAGATTAGTGCACATATCCTTAAAAAAATATTGATTTAAATAAAATCTGATTTTCTCTTGTCATCTTAAAAAACCATAACATTCTTTTTAATTCTGGGATTTGAGTAATGTTTTTTTCTACTCATTAAACAAAGTTTTTCTGCATATCTAGAAAGTCTTTAGATGAATAATTTGCATGTGCAAAATATTGTTCCAGTTGAGAAGAAGGAGGGGAGAGAATTTTGCAATGTTTCGCGAAAATTATGGAAAACATTTCACATAGCGCACATAATTCTATTTTAAGGAATTCGATTTTTTTTAAATGTAACATTAAAAACACAAATTATAAGTAATGCGACAGATTTTTTAATAAATGTAAATAAAAATAATAAAAATTTAAATTATTTGATTTTATCAACTGTTTATATAAAAGTTCAAAGTTCAAATTTCAGAACTTTGGTGATCGAGGGTTGCTAAAGACTTTAGCAACCAGAAAATGNGGGGGGGGGGGGGTGGATCTACTGAAAGTAAAAAGGAAGGCTGTAGATCCCAACTATATCTTCTCATTTATCTTTACTAAATATTAATCATCAATCATCCACCTATACAGCTAATCAATACACCATTCATCCATTCATTCTGCACCATGCAGATTAAACCTGTAGAATATATAAAGAGACTGTAAACGTTTCTCAAGCAAACATACGGATTTATGCAGAGCATAACAAGGTCGGAAATTGACAGAATTAATCTCTTGTATGTTAAAGAAACTTCACTTTATCAAGTTAGATTCATAGAAAGTTCACAGTTGCTTGAAAGGGTCTACATACACTCTTCATGCATTTCAGGAATCCACCCTTTCTTAGCGCACTGACATTAGGAGGGAGACACGCATTTAAAAATAAGAACAATTTTAAAAGCATCAATATTTTCTCTGAAATTCTCAAACATTGTATTTAAGTTCGTAAGAAAAGCGCTTTTTATTGTTGTACATACTTCTTAAAATGTTAGCAAGTTATGAAGAAAAAAGGCTTTTGTCTGTCATAGTTAATGACATTAGAAACAAAAGGCAATTTGTTGTGAATATTTGTCCAAAGAAATTAAGTCTTTGCTAGAAAGAGAAATTTTCTAATCCCTATATCTGTGCAATCTGATGGTGTGAACCTTCATTATTTCAAACTTAGATTATTTGATCTAACAGAATTCATAGTTTGAAATATCTGAGGTCTACAATATTGGGATTTGTGGCTTTTGCGTGTAATGGTTTATGATATTGCAACAAATGGCTTTCCGAATAAAGATGGACAGCATTTTTGTGAACCAACGAAATTTTTAAGAACGAACGACATTTGCCGTTTAGAAAAAAACGCTGCGCGAATGACTTGGATCGTTCAGAGAAATTAAAAACGAACGAAAAAAGCGAAGGATTTAAAATGAACGAACTTGAAAAAATTTTCCTTTATTTTTTGAATGAACGATTTTTTTGAACGAACACTTTTACTAAACAAACGATTTTACTGAAAGAAATATTTTTTTTTGAACGATTGAAAATAAACCGAACGAAATTGTTCATTAAGGAACGGTGCCCGAACGCGCTAATCTCTATTACATACCCACCGCCTTGTAAACGCCCCTGATGTAAACAACTTGCAGAAAACTAGAAGATATTGTTTAAGGAGAGCAGATTTCTTAAACCATGGCGTCCAAAGTCAACAGTTGACTTTGGACGTGCTACAGCTGATCTTAAAGGGACTGTCGGCGAAATCTCAAGGTTTAAGGGGTAAATCATATACATGCTTTTTTAAGTGCAACTGTATAGAACTTTTTAAAAAAACAACGAAACAAGTTCACTGAATGTACATGTACCATTTAGTTGTACTGTATTCAATGTTTTCATCTAAAGAATTTAATTGTACTGTATTCAATTAATTAATCTAAAGATGTTTTAAATTCAACAGTTTAATTTGTTCAGATATTTGATGTCTTGTCGTGAACACGTGTTCATGAGTTGATTTAGTGTTTAGTATCCCCGCTGAACTCTTTATCATGCATACAAGCTACAGGGAAAGAGAAGGGGGGAGCGGGGGAACATGGGTTAGAATATAATGCTTTAATTAAAAAAAAATAGGACGGGTAAGATCTAACAATAAGGTTCATTTCATAGGTTAAAGAAAATAAATGAGAAGTGTGAAGTGAAATTTTAGCAGACATTTATCTTTCGTATGCGTTAAACACCTTGGACAAGGTATTCTAAATACATGATTTAATTTATTCATGGGAACATTATTATGTTTATGGTATATATAAAATAGTGATTTCTCTCTGTCTTTTTAAATGTTTGGAAGTCCGATCATAACTCAAGAACCCCTTAACTGGTTTGCCTCAAATTTTGATTGGGTAACTCGCAAAAGCGGTTTGGGTAATTTCTTTTTGATATCCAGGTATATCATGGTAACCAAACTAGTAAAATAGTAAACCAAACTAGTAAACCAAACTAGTAAGCCAAACTAGTAAACCAAACTAGTAAACCAAACTTGTAAACCAAACTAGTAAAATAGTAAACCAAACTAGTAAACTAGTAAATCAAACTAGTAAACTAGTAAACTAGTAAACAAAACTAGTAAACCAAACTAGTAAACTAGTAAACCAAACTAGTAAACTAGTAAACCAAACTAGTAAACTAGTAAATTATATATTTAAAACTTGCAACTATCTATCTATCTATTGACCGTTTTCTCAGTAAATTCAGAACTAAATTGAGATTTAAATTAATTTGTAATTAGTTAATTGATTTTCTTTGGTTTTATTGAACACTTGAATAATTGGTTTAACATAGCAATTGATTTGATTAGTTGATTTAATGATTGATTGATTGATTGATGGATTGTTTTTGGTTAATTTATGATAGAGATTTTAAATTGATGATTGATAGACTGAGTGATTTTATTGTTCAATTATCTGATTGACATTTAGATAAAATAGATAGATATTTTGATTGATGAGTGGACTTATTTATTTATTAATTAATTGATTGATTTATTGATTAATTAATTGATTGATTGATTTATTGATTTATTGATTAATTAATTGATTGATTGATTTATTGATAAATTTATTAATTGATTGATTTATTTATTGATATATTAATTGATTGATTGATTGATTAATTTGTTGCTTAATTGATTAATTAACTGATTGGTTGATTGATTGATTGATTGATTACCTGTGAACAACTATATCCGTGAGCCTGGAATAATTCCATCCATCTCCGGATCTAAATAAATAAAATTTTACATCTTTAAATAAGATAAATTTTTACTATTGTCTTACTCTGTCAAATTTGAAGTTTGTCTTTTTAATAACAAGAAGAAATAAGATAATTTGAACTTTTAAAATATCCTAAAATAATCGTAGAATATTTAAAAAAAAACTTTTATGATTTTTTATTGTTCGCCACAATGGTTTAATGGTAATACCTAACAATACTTCTTAGCTGAACATTTTCTCCAAGTTCAATAGAACTTCCTGATTTGACGCGGGCAGCAAACAGCTCAGTTCCTAAAATAACCGCTAGGTGTAGCTAAACTCTCTTGATGATCTTGGATTAATGGATTAATGGATTAATGGATTTATGGATTTATGGATTAATATATTAATGGATTAATTAATTAATGGATTAATTAATTAATGGATTGATTAATTAATGGATTAATTAATTAATGGATTAATGGATTAATGAATTAATGAGTTAATGAATTAAGGAATTAATGAATAAATAAATTAACGAAATAATGAATAAATGAATTAATGAATTAATTAATTAGAGAATAAATGAAATAATGAATGAATTAATTAATTCATGGATTTATGGATTAATGGATTACCTGCAAGTTTTCTAAAGAGTCCGATCTCGGATAGGAATTCTTGGCCCCCTCCAGAAAATATTATTGGAGATTTCTGCTCAACCCTATACATCATATTCAAGCTGGTATTATTCACAATAATAATAATAATAATAATAATAATAATATTAATGATAATAATAGTGATAAAGATAAAAACAATATGTAGTAATACTAATATAAAAAAGCAATACCAATAAATACAATAACAATAATAAAAACAATAAAATGTTAAAATAACAAGAAAGCACTAAAATAAAGTTAGAAAAGATCATTTTTAAAAAACATTTTTAAAATGTCCATATAAAAGTATAGTTTGAATATGAACCTTCCAAACATTCTACGCTTTCCTCTCCCCGTCCCATCTTCATATTCCCTGATTTAAAATGAATAAATAATATTTGGATGTTTCAAGTTTTGTCAATTTTCACCTTGGAAAAATGCAATTTCATACTCCCAGACAGAAATCTTTTTGAAATTTAAAAAAGAAAAGAAAATTAAGAAATTTATTTTCATCCTAACTTTGGTGAGAATATAGTAAATTCAATTTTACTTTTTTTATTCTTTTTTTTTACTTTTTAAAATTAAATTTTTAAATATTTTTTTTTAAAGAATATTGTCATTTTTTTAAACTTATCATGCCAATGCAATTACATCTACTCCTGCTAGAATTTTATCAAGGTTCAGGTTGAAAAAGGAATGAATGTGATAAAAAGACTCGAAAACTAGTCATAAACAGTCATTGACAATCTCTCTTAAAAGTTATTGTTTTTGCGGATTATTCATACACTTTGCTCAATTCCTATTTCAAGAAACTAGCAAAGTGTGCAAATCAGTTTTATTTATATAGATAAAACTGTATTAAAAAAAAATCAGGCCGGATTATATTTGAATTAAATTGATCACTGAATTTTTTTAAGGAGAGTTAATCTTAACATTTTATAAGAATTGTGATCATTAATTAGCTTCCTCTAATTTTAAACTGCAGAATATTTATTTTAAAATTTTATAAAAATTATTATGAAATAAAACCGAATTTTGTAAAATCTAAAATCTGCAAATCTTATATTTAAAATATATACTTACAAATTCTCCTGGAAGTTTATAGCATTGTTGCCTGCAACACTTCTATCCTGGGGTCGACATTTTATATCAATTATCTCATCTTCAGGTAGCATCAAACCTAAAATAGTAATCAGTAATAGACAGATGAATGGGAAATAGAAGAAGTTTTCGCGGATTTTATTGATTTAATTGAGGAATTTCAAAAAAAGTTGCAGATGGGCTTGAATCATTTCCCGAACCCAATTTTTTTGTAAAATGATCTCACATAACCCCCGGGTCAAAATGAATAGATTAAAAAAAAGGCTCTTGGGTATAGATATAAAAAGATAGTCAATATTCTGGTCGTAAAAGGGCCATTTATAATTGTCATATACAATGTATGCATTGTACAAAAGTCACAAAGATAATAGATCCAGACTTCTACGGGGTGTCCCACATCTTATTAGATCGTGTATAGTTCAAAGTTGTGATTTTAGGGACTAATCAGAAAATTAAAAAACAATGAATCATTTAAAAAAAAGATATCTCGAGTTTTATGTGCGTATTTTAGCGTTAAAGCTTGGAGATAATCTAATAGGATATGGGACGCTCTGTATGTAAAGTTGTATCAATTGTCAAGTGCCGCAACAGCTTACCCTTAAAATTTTATCGAACTAGCACTCATGCATTCAAGAGACGTGATCATATGATATATAATATTAAACTAAAAACCACTTGGTTTTGTTTCTTAAGAAGTTAGAAAGATTTTTGCTTTCAACCTTTGTATCACAGTGAAGTGTGCATACTATGCAAGTTTTTATGCAATTCATGCTTAAGTGTGCATAAGTATGCAATGGTATTGATATTATTACAACTTAGTAAAAACAGTAAGAACTACTGAATACTGCAGAGTTCAAATAAACTTAACGATTTATCATTCATCGTTGCCTTGGGTCTTTGTANGAGACCAATGAGGATAGATTGATTTATTTGAAAATATCTTAAGATTTTAACAGAAAATCGTGTGATAGGTTAAATATTTCTTTTAGGCGATTCTCAAGATGGAGATTGCGCGCATTTCTAGTTTTCTTTTCCGTGCGCGTGCAGTGCACCGCGTTTAAAAAAAGGAAATGAGTTTTAAGATAATTAGGGTTTGAAAAGTTGACAATTATTATGATTATCATCATTATCACACTTTTAGTCTGCACCATTTTGTTTTACTTCATACAAAGCTACGACTGCAGTGGAGATATACTATAAGTAAAACTCTGTCACATTTGGATTTGACGCATTATCGCTCTAAAATCTCAATGAGAAACTTATGTTAACAGAGCTGTGTATATTCATGTGCATTAATTATGCAGCAAGACTAGTGATTAATATGTAATTTTAAATTCAATACAATTATAATATTTCATTTTAAAATTGACTTTTTTAACAAATTAAATTAGTAATGTTTTCTGTAAATAAATTAATATTATTGTTTTTAAGTGTATCTAATCATAGAAATTTGATAATTGTTATCTTTCTTATAATATTTTTTCACAACTATACATATTATGCAATTTTGATATTTTTAAGATTTAGTGAATTTGAGCATTTTGTTACGTTATTTCAATTCCCAGTAATAAAAAACGCGCGAATGACTGATGTACGTGTCCTCTGCGTGTGACAGCCTTGATATAAATTTTCACGCACAATTATTGTGGGAAACTTAATGAATAATTTGATCGAGGGCTAACATATAATTTCAGCACTAAATTATATAAACCTGATATCTGAGAAATGTTTGAAAATGAAAAATGGTCTTGAAAGAAATTTGCAAGCTTATCCCTGTATCCCTGTATTCACAACTAAAATCTTCTACTGAAAGAATTCTGTAAGTTTTGCCAACTCGTGTAAAGCTTTCACAAACACACACACACTTGTACGAACAGACAAACACCTCCATGACGAAAGTAACACTCCGGTGATTTTTAAAACAATTTTGCTATATTCACGGTAAGTAAATTTCTATTCCTATTACTAAAATTATACAAAATTAAGTCATGGTATAGTTATATAGATAGTTTATATATTAAGAAAAAGCAGATTTTGAATACGCTAAGTTTCTCGTCTGTCCCCTCAAACCAAAGATGTCAAAAGGAAAATATTCAAAATAATTTGATGGAATTCATTAAAAACATTACCGCCAGGTTCAATTTATTTTTTTCTAAACTTTTTTTAGTTCTCCCTACTCCCTACTCCCTACTCCCTACTCCCTACTCCCTACTCCCTACTCCCTACTCCCTACTCCCTACTCCCTACTCCCTACTCCATACTCCATACTCCCTACTCCCTACTCCCTTAACTGTGCAACAAGAAAGTAAGAAAGGGAGTTTTTAACACAGAAATGAATCGAAAGACAAATATTTCCTTGATACAATAAAAATGTGTGTGGTTTTAAGATTATTATAATAATATTTATAAATCATCAAAAAGAAATCTCAGTATATTTTATCATTTAAAGGGACTGTACGCGTAGTTTAAAGTGACCCTCCATGCTCTTGAAACCTTTGCCTGACCAATAATGTGAAAGATATTGTCGTTTTTCAAAGTTTAAAAATGTATCTGAAAATCCCCACATATTTTCCTAAAGTGGAAATGAGCAAGTCACTTTTGGTAGAAAACACGCAATTGAAAATAATAGTTTATCAAAATTATAAACATCGATATAAAATTCAAATTTGTTCAGACAACGGTTTTAAGGGCATCGGTGTGAAAGGAGGTTTACTTAAAATTAAGTGTCTAGTCCCTTAATTGAAGATTATATATACGCTCAGGACCCCCCATACTTGAATATGCATATAGTGTAACCACATAATTACTATATTGCCATCTTTTAATATTTTGGGAAAAGATTGGTTTAAGATTTAAGTTTCTCTAATGATGCCTGCTTGTACTACTTCACATCATTTACATTCACATTCCTACATAGCTCCTTAGTTGTACTACTTCACATCATTCACATTCACATTCCTACATAGCTCCTTAGATGTACTACTTCACATCATTCACATTCACATTCCTACATAGCTACTTAGCTGTACTTCTTCACAGCATTTACATTCACATTCCTACATAGCTCCTTAGATGTACTCCTTCACATCATTCACATTCACATTCCTACATAGCTCCTTAGATGTACTACTTCACATCATTCACATTCACATTCCTACATAGCTCCTTAGATGTACTACTTCACATCATTTACATTCACATTCCTACATAGCTCCTTAGCTGTACTCCTTCACAGCATTTACATTCACATTCCTACATAGCTCCTTAGATGTACTACTTCACATCATTTACATTCACATTCCTACATAGCTACTTAGCTGTACTCCTTCACATCATTCACATTCACATTCCTACATAGCTCCTTAGCTGTACTCCTTCACATCATTCACATTCACATTCCTACATAGCTCCTTAGCTGTACTACTTGACATCATTTACTACAGTGTGACCCAGAAAATAGGGGATAGGTCTTAGGAAGACGACTGTTAGGCTCAAGTTTTTATTTAAATAGTCCAATGAGCACGAAACATAACAACTGGTACTATAAGACCCATTTTACTTAAAAAATAAATTTTAAGATATTGATCAAACAGTTTGCTTTAAACCATCATCAATTCGACATAAGATTGATTAAATGTCGTCTTACTGTTCCATAGTTTTATGGGATTTTGTTAATTGAAATTTTTCTAAAGATTGCACGGAACATTTTTAGAAATGTATCATTTGCATCAATTGATAATTGATTCAACAGTTTTCTGGTTCTTACTGTACAGTAATTCTAACGACGGTAATTTTAACGGTCCCTCATGAGCTTTGTTTTATCAAGTATGAATTAGATATCAATGTTGATAATTTAGAAAACTGATTATTTTCATTCTTGATTTACTACAAAAGTGACATATAAGAATTACCAGAAATAAAAACCTTTAAACCTAGAAAAACGAGAATATCTTCCACCTGATTGATGAGATAAAGGGTACCGTTGTGAATCGGGCATTGTCATCATCTTTTTATGGAGGGTCACTTGAAATTACACTTGTAGTCCCTTTAAGTTTATGATTTAAGTTTTAGAATTTAGAAAATATTTTTTTCGTAGAATTAATTTTTCACGTCGAAATATACAGCGATGCTAATTGTAATTTTAAACGCATGGTTAATCAAAATTCTAAAGGGCATCAAGAATATTAAAATTTAAACTTATTTTAGTTTATCATGAAATGTGGAAATTCGCAATCTTGAAAACTTTTAAAATGAATCTCTATATAATTTCTTATTAGGAATCTTAAAATATGCAATCAAAGAATATTAAAAAACGGCAAAAATTGTTATTTTCAGAAAAATAATAAATGTTTGAAGGAACTGCTTTCAAAGCATTATAATTTTTTTATGATAATTTATGTTGTATATTAAAAAGTTCAAATTATTATTATAATTTAAATATTGATANTTAGTATATCTGTGCAGCCAGATGGTGAAAACCTTTAATATTTAAACACAGGTATCATAGCAGAATAAAAAATGTCTAGGGTCTACGACATCAGGTTGCAAAGATATAAGGAAAAGAGAAGAATCAGTTCGTTTATTAAGATAATTAGTTTTTGCACGGTGTATTGTGTATAGCTTCAAATGAATGCAAATAAAGGGCAAGGCTAAAAATTATAAATTGTTTTTATTGCAGCGAACTTTAGCCTCTATATTCAGGCTGAAATGCACAATGACATGCATATGCATTGTATTAAAGATTTCAGACGGAAGGCTTCAAAAAATAGTTTTCAGAAAATAAAAAAGCTTCCCGCATAGAACAAACGACCCTGTTTTAGAGTCTGAAAACGACCCGCACGACCCCAAAAACGGGCGCCGGCCCGACTCTGTTTTAGTACTAATAAAAGAGTCGTTTTTAGACCGAAAAGACCCTGAATCCGTCTCTCCTCAAAACGGATGGGTGTCGGTTTACTTCACGGCAGGGGGCCATTATCTCCCTCAAGATTTATTACTTTGGCGCCATATGTCTACATCTGCAAGCTGTCGAGACAAGCTGTTTTCCACCCCCCACCCCCCCCATCAACAAAAATTAAG